GGTTCTACTTTTTCTTGTGAGGATAACAGGAACAAAGAACCTAGGGAAGCTGACCTAAAGGAGATCAATGATACGTTAAAGTGCCTTCTGGAACAAAATAATGAAAAACAATTGCAGATAGAAAGGCAAGAGGCAACTATTCGCAACTTGGCGGCTCAAGTGAGTCAAGTGGTTGAAGCTTTTAATACTCAGCAAGCCAATTTTGGGGATAGGAGCCAAGAAGAGCGTGAATTTGAGGTGCTAATTGAGGAGGTCAGAGTAGAACATCAACAACCTAGCTAACTACAATTTGAGGATGTCAATGTTGTAGAAGTGAGACTAGAGTCGGCCAAGGACATTGAGGATATAAATTTTGTTGACTCTAGTATTATTGATGTTGAGGATGCTGAAAGTCTTGAAGTTCATGTGTGTGAGCGCATTGTTCCTCACTCCAAACATTTTTCTACATTGTGCTTGGATGACGAATGGAAATAGAGTCATCCGAGCCGATTGAGAAGTCAAGGAATGAGGAACAATGTGCCTACATTCTGGAACTTTTCTTGCCAGAAAGGCAGGACTACATACCTCATCTAAAATCCAAGAAGTGTATAATAGTACGATGGTTGCTTGGGCCAATTAGATTTGTTCCTCCACTCCTCGAGCATAGCCGAAAACTTGATGCCAAATTAGGGGTTCAATTCATAAGCTTGAGGTTCAGGCAAAAAGTGATGCACGTCGTGCCGCGACGTTAAATCAAGCGTTTGTTGGGAGGCAACCCAGCTTTACTGCTTTTTTTCTATAATTGTATTATTTTTTTAGTGTCGATTTTTTATTTTCCAGGAGCATGGAAAGCAAAGCTATTGGAAGGATGCAACAGCAAACCAGATGGTTGGAACTAAGTGTGAGGTACCCGCACGAAGGACCAAGCCTGGGAGAAGTCTGAGTACCCCATGAGCTGCTAGTGCTTCGGCCTTTGGCCTACCAGGGAGTTTCTTTTACCCTCTTATAGTTATGATGTGCATTGGGGACAAGGCACAATTTTAAGTGTGGGGTGAGGAGATTTTCTGGGTGACTTTCTATGCTACTTTAGTTGTGGACTTTTCCCGACGATGGATCTATTAGACAATTTTCTTGAGGGATTTAAGTCTAAAGAAAAAGGACAAAAATATTTTCTTTTGTTAGGTAGTGTAGCAATTCCCCCTTGGTATTTCTTTGTGCCGCGGTTCTTTTTCAAGGATTTTATTTAAACCTGGTGTAGTTAGTTTTAATTTTTTTTTAGGAGTAGGAGCTAGTGTGAGACGAATTGAATTGAAGCAATATCTCTTGACTTTGTTATCCTTGAGAATAGTGAGTACTTTGGTTGTGACGCTTAGGCTCAGTTTTTGACTCTTGTAGAAGTACCTTAAATTGTATGATCTTAACTTTGCTTAACTACTTTGACTAGAGTGTCTTGATGAGTCCAATCCTGAATGAGTTATGTGCCATGTGTGTGTAAGGTTTTGTGTTATTCTGTGCATTGCACTTGATGTCTAGAACTTGCCCCATGTGTTTGCAAAGCGAAATAGTAAGTTTTGTTCAGTCTTGGAAGTGATGGCATTTTTTTTGTTGAGCCAAATATATATTTTAACCGCTTAATTGTTATGTATCGTAGTTAACCCCTTTGAGCCTGTAATCATGTTTCTTTGGCAACCACATTACAAGCATTACTCATTTGTTTGAATTAACTATCTATTTGAACCTTTTCACCTCTCACGAGCACTTGAATTGTTATGGACTTTGTAAAAGTTAAAGTGTGGGGTGGTTTGTTTGACTTTTGACTGGAACTAATGAAATAAAGAGAAAGGTGCACTGTTTTGAAAAAGTAAGAGCCACTTGAATTGGAAAAAAAAAGAAAAGAAAGAAAAAAAAATAGTTGTATTGTTGTGGAAAAAAAATTCCTTGCTAAGTGGTGACTCTTGATGTAATTGTGCTTAAAGAAGTAGAGGGGTAATATACATTGATATGAAGGTGGAGTTTTTGTTTGACATAAGTGGGGTTTTAAATGTTAAAATGTATGTATTAAAGTGCTTAGGAGGTGTAGTCACTCTTATATCTAAATGTATCCTACCGGTCCTGCGGCCTACATTACAACCAAATAAGGTCCTACCTGATCCTAAACTGAATGAGCTCGATTAGTAGAGTAGTACACTACGGGCAAGCCTATGGTGCATCTTTTGTGGCATATGAATGTTATTTTTGAGAGTGAGTGAATTCTTTCTATCTTGAGTTCCTAATTGTTCTTAAATTTTATTGTGTGGAACTACTCTCTTTTGTTGTGTGAGGGCACTTGATTCATGAAGAAAAGGTAATGTCAGTGACCTCTATGTTAGAGTAAATGGGTGAGTTGTGAATAATGCGTGGTACTTGTGATTCAAATCTTGAGGTGACAATGATACGCTTTTGTGCTTAGTCTATTTTAAATATTCTTGGTGTGATGAGTTAGGAGAATTGTTTAAAAAGGTCGTATCTATATAAAGTGTAGTTTTATTTCTCGAGGACAAGCAATGGTTTAAGTGTGAGAATGTTGATGATAGGCTATAATTACGTATTTTAGTCGCTTATCACACTCTAATTTACTGCACTTTAATTGAGTTTGAGCTTTAATCGCTAGTGTTTTGCACTAATTGTGTATTTTATGCCTTGTAGGAGTGATTCCGAGCTATGTAGATATTATGGAATGAATTCAAGTGATTTGAAGTTTTGAAGTCTGAGTAAAAGCCCAAGGAATCAAGCCGGGATCGTGTTCGGGGATCAACGGATGATATTAAGAACGAAACGAAGAATCGAGCGGGCATACGGCGCATTGTCTAGTAAAATACACATAACTTTTCGCTCAGAACTCCGTTTGGGCTCCACAATATGTCGCTGGAAAGCTATTTGAAAGGGCTACAACTTTCATGTTTTGCATTTTTGCGAATTCCCACTACCGCGCGCATAGTGCGGCGCGACGTACGCCGCGCCTATGGAAAATTCCTGCAGCCTGTCAGAATTAGCTCTCTGAACTTCCCCACAAGCACACCGCATGGTGCGTCTCCCCACGCAGCGCGGTAGTGCAAATTTTACAGAGTGATTGTCCTATTTCGCGCAGGAGAAGGTATTTTCATCTGGGCCCGACCCTACTTGGTATAAATACATGTAAAAACGCTATTTTGAGGAAGAGGGGGACATACTCTTGACATAATTTAGACCTAAGGAGGCTAAGGAGACCGGGGATTCGACCTTAGGAGGCAAGAACACACTAGGACCAAGGCGAAGAATTCTTCTACGAGTTTTTCACTTCCTTCTTCCTATTTTCATTATTGGCTATGAATTCTAGTATTGTAGTTATGTATACTATTATGAATAGCTAATTTGTTATCTAGGGTTTTGATGGAACCTATTGGAGGATGATTTTTCTGTTACGTTAATATAGATTTGCTGTAGTATTTTCTCTATTTGTTCAACTTCGTTATTATTGTGGTTGGTTGAAGAGCTCTCAATCGACTGTGCCTATTTAGTATGTATTACTCGGGAGAGAGTGCATATTTAGGTAGTTGTTGAACAACATCACTCCTAACGTTTATGAATGATCAATACGGAGGGTTTAAAGGTGGGATTAGGGATAACGAAACCTTGGGTGCGATCCGAGTGAGCCGTACTTAATGCCAGGTAGCGTAATTCGGGAGAATATGTCTAGTAAATTGTGGTAATTACTCGGGAGAGAGTTACGACAGTCAGAGCGCTCATGATCGGTAGAGAATACTTAGGCGAATTTATAGAAAATGTAGCGGGAAGGATTCCGACAATAGGGGAAATCATAACTCTAGACCTCCTTAATCTTGTCCCCCTTAGTATCTTTAGTTGTTAATTTACTATTTTAATTTGTTAGTTAATTAGTTAAACACAAGAATCTTAATATCTATAAGTTAGGAATTGTTCAAGCTTGTCTTCTTGGTGATATGGAACAATTGTAGCTAAGCCTTAGTTCTCTGTGGGATTCGACTCCGGACTTGTAAACCGAATTACATTTGCAACGACCGCTTAGTCCTTTTTATAAGGCATAGTTGGGCATGATCAAATTTTAAAATCCCATACATGAGGTCTGGGGAGGATAGTGTGTACGCAGCCTTACTCCTATCCTATAAAGGCAGAGATGCTGTTTAACTTATGCTATTAAATATCTTTCTTAAAAATTGTGCAAAATTCTTAAATAAGGAGTAGAAAGTATCGTGAAAATTAGAATCTTTCATCTTCATCCAATCATGTTCTCTGGTTAGATTAATTTATTTTAACCATTATATGTACGTCTCATAATAAGTGCCCTATCAATTCATATTAATGTTACTATCCAAGACTTTTCTTACCTAAGGACTTGTCAAAATTCTAGATACATGTATTCTTTGAAGTTTGAACCTACAAATTTCCATTTTTTCAAAATATCCCTACTTACTTTCAACTTCTAGTCATGAGATATTTATATAAACTATAAATATTCTTCCCATAGATAAATTAACAAAAATCAAGTCCAATCTAACAAATCACCCTTAAGAGTTTAAACTTAAATTTTTTTTTTAAATTAGACGTGTGTCATTCTTCCTGAAACTGACTAAAAAGAAGAAAGTGTTAGTGAGTCTATTCGTCGAGTCTTATGTTATGCTAAGAGGACTCCACCACGTCCAATTTCCTTGGGTTCTAAGCCATCTCTAACGACTAATTAACAATTCAAAGTGTTTATCAATATTCTTGATAATCTAGCATTTATATGGAGATGTAGAAGAATTTATCTGTTCACCCGGATTGATAATGAATCAAAGGGTGCGTGATAAGGCACCATCTATCCGGAAACGGCCACTCGCTGAAATGTAGAGTAAAACTGTGTACAATAGACCCTTGTGGTCTGGCCCTTCCCCGGACTCCGCGCATAGCGGTAGCTTAGTGCACTGTACTGCCCTTTTAAGGAAATTGTCAGAGACCATTGGCATCATTAGTTTCAGGGGATGAAGTCAAAGAAGCTAAGTAATATATGAGTGACTTTATCATGTCTAGAATACTATGAATGTAAGATCACAGCCAGTACAGCAGATTTGCACAATCTGAGGGAGAATATTCACCTTAAACTACTTCTATAAGACTAGTATAAGCTTGCTTCTTTAATCAACTATGTACACCTCAAAGAGATGCTGAATTATACATACACTATAGTGAGGAAGTTCAGTGCAAAACACAAGCTCTCACTGGGGTTGGGGCCGTGATTGCACGATGAAAATTTCGTTACCAACTAAACATCCTTCAACGTCTTGAGGAGAACCAAATTTACGTTCTAGGTAGAAACCAACGGCGCCAAGCCTCTGACCAAGTTGACGCCTGAAAATGGGGTCGATTGTTAAAGGTTTCTTGCTATAATCCACGGTCAAATGAATAACTTCTCCGTCAGCCGGAGTATTTCCACCTACAACCATCTCCTCACTAAAGTTGGCGAACGCCAGTGTGCGTACTGTGTCATCAAATTTACCACTAGACAGACGCCATGGTGTACCCCTCGTTCCTGAAGCGAGTGTTTCACCGAGTCCAGGTGCAATCTCAGCCTCGACAAAGTTATGATTGTTGTCTGTTGGACTCAGCGTGTGGAGGACAAAAGATAAATCCGGTGAAAGCATTTCTTGCACTAGTACAGCCATAGTAGCGTCTTTCTGGGGCACACCAGCAGCTCTACGGCTCAGTACTGCTCTTCTAGTATACAATGAGGCCCAAACGCGGGCTACAGCATGTCCAAACCTTATCGGATCTGAAGGGCTAACGTTAGGAATCGAATCGTAAAGTCCAGCTGCTGACATCCCCGCCAAATCCTCAACATTAGCACTTGAACGCACTATTAAACGTGCATTACCCGGGAATAATTTTCCCAAGCTTTCAGTGACATCTTGTCCAGGCAGTAGAGAAGATATTAACTTCTGGAGATCATCACAGTGTTTATCAAGTTCACCACCATCGATTTGAGCTGTTTCTATCTGTTCGACAAGCAATGTGAAGGTCTCCGTTAACTTATTCGTTTCTAATGCCATTTCCATAGAACCAAATGGAATTACTGCTCCAGCAGGGACCTTAAATGAAGCTGGCACCCCTTGGTCACTGTAAACTGTAATCAGATAGTTCATCAGACAAAAAAGAAAAAAGCAAAAAGCACAAAAATTATGCTATGGTAAGCTAAACACAAAAATTAAATCCCAACTACCTATATCGCGATTACGCTATGTATAACAAGCATAGTTAAATTTATCTTTTATTCCTTATTATAAGATTAATGATTATGCTTGATCTAAAGGAAAGGCAAGGGACATAACTTGTAACAGGAAAAAGAAAAAAGAAATCAAGAATAGAAGGGGAGAAAGAACATTTACGTGAAATGTTCATTTAAAAAAAAAATACTCATCTGGTGTTACAGAACTGACATTTTAGCTATAGCAACGAAGAACAAAATAATAACAGTACTGATGTTATTATCAGAGGGTTGTCCTGAAAAGAACCAACACTACCTTTAGCAGAAGAGGATGCCAGTAAAGCTAATTGAGCACAAGAAGCCGCTTTTGCACCACTACTCTGTATTTCTGCATCAGCAAGAGGAATAATACCTCCAGTAGGTACCACCTGTAAGTAAAGAACTTAAGCTAGCTTGAATAGCAAATAATTTGTGTGCGTGTGTGTTTTTTTTTTAGGGGGGGGGGGGGGGTTACAGAGGGAGAAAAGGGAGGTGGAACAGAACTACAGCACAACATATTTGCGGAAACATGTCATCGGCAAGAAAAGTTATTTACCTCTTTAGAATGAGAAGAGGCTGTACTTGTAGATGAAGCAGTAACTGAGAGATGTTTATTTTGGGAAACACCAGTGCCTTTCTCTGATGAAGAGGAAGTTAACTTTACACCAGTTGATGATGCCTCTAACCTGAAAAATGAAGGGTCAATAACCACAGAAAATTAAGGCAAAACAGAGAAACTACTAAAGCATTACAATCATGAAGGAGTTAAAAGTTCTCATCAGAAGTCAAACTGGTGCAGCATGTAGAAATCAATGACACAAGGGGTTTGAAGAAAATAACCTCACATATTTTCCAGTTAGTTCTCTTATATCAGAAACTTTGTCATCATCGTCGCAGGTCACAAAAACTACCTTTTCCTGCAATCAAAAGAAAGTAACATTTCTATAAGTAACACACATAAAAGGAAAAAGCCTATAATTAGCTTTTGGAGATGGGGGCAAAATTTGGAACTTGCCTGTCGCGCCCTAACACCTAGATGAGATAAATGAGGTAGCTCCTGTAGAAGTACAACCCCGGATATGTTACTTCCTGCTGCTGTCACCTGTAAAATGGTCAACAACGCCATTCAGTATCCTGCTCTGAGTAATACATAAGTTTCTAAAGCCTTAGGATTCCGCAAAAGAAACAGAAGGATGAGAAGCACGGGCAACCTCTTCATCTCCATCAGCTTTGTTCACTACAAGAATAACAGGTCCTGTTGCCGATGATGGTAGAGTCCCTGGGACAATTCTATCCACCTGAAATGTATGTAATCAGCCCATATACTCCAGTTACGGATATGATAGCACTATAAGAAAAAACTTGTTTAGATAGAGTTAAGATAAAATTTCAAAAAGAGAAAAATGCATGCATTCGCAGCATTAGAGTTAAAGTTAAAACCTAGAACTAGTACGCGCAACTTAGATTTGCATCAAAACTTTAAGGGGTGAAATTTCTACATGAGAAAGGGTTTTTCCTTTGCATGTTAGCATTTGTTTGTGTTTGATAGTATAGAGACAGCTTGCAAGAGAAATGGCAATGGTTATGCATTCAGGAAGAAAAATTATAACATGTACGAAGACATAGTGTGGAATAAACAGTATAACATGCACCTGTATTAGCTGTCCAAAAGCATCCCCTGGAACGAGAACATCCCAGCCCGAAGACCCAATTGTCCTTCTAGTAGCCTTCAAAAGTAGTGTAGCAAGCTTTGAAACCTGAAAAACCACACTACAAATGACACGTATTTTAAAAAGTTAGAAGCCACTTGTCAACTTATAGTAACATCTTCCCTGTCAGAGAGAAATAAGCATAATCAGATTGGAGCAAACACTATTCAGAACAAAGTATCTGTCCAAATCATACCCTGCTCGAATTTCAGCTTCAGTGAATGTTCTCACGCTATTTTCAGGAATCGCCAAAGATTTCCCTAAAATCTGCAATACCACAAACGCAGTTAGTCAGCCCTTATCATAATTGGTCCAAACTTAAATGCTCAATTTGGATAGTTTACAGGTAAATCACCTGGACTTTTTCAGGGAATATTTGGAGAAGTGTCTCGGAATACTCCTCAGTTAACCTCCGACTTCTATCAAGAGTAGCTTTCAGTCTCAATGCCCATATAGTCTTACCATCTTCACTGCCTTCAGTAAAGATAAGCACAAAAAATATCAGGAGACCTGAAGCATATCATGATTGCACATATGATAAATCATTGAATGACAATAAGATACCTTCGGTTTCTGAAAGTCCCCTCTTTTTCCATGACAAAAGCTCATTTCCAACAGCTTTGCATTCCTCAGGTTTCCAACCAGATAGACCTAGTTGTTGGATTCCAACATTAAGTGCTCCAATTGGATCATTCCAAGAGCTAACATTTTTCTGCGCTACATTCTCTGCAAGCGAATCAGCTCCTCCCCGAGCTTCAACTGCATTGACAAACCTATATATTTTGCAGAAAGAATCTTAAAATAAGTGGGAAGTGTATAAACATATGCAACTGATGCTCAAATGAAGAAGAGAAACCGTCGATTAACTTATCCTCGCCTTTACTCTAATTATTAAAGATCTTTTTACCGCCAGGGAAAGGGAAAATATCATAATTAGAAAACGAACCAATCTCATACTGATTACGCCCCGAGAAACACACACATATATGTTCCTTTAGCACATATCTGGTATTCAGAGTATATACCTGCTCAAAAGGACAAACGCATAGTCTTCAAGCCCAATCTCGCAGAGACGCCACTGCATGATGACAAGTTGTTAGTATTAGATGATTCAAGTAACTGGAATCAATGACAACTTTAGCGTTCGGTAAATTTAAGAAATTCATACCTTTTGCCGCATAGCTATTGCAGCATCCGGAGCATCATTACGGAGGCCACTTTCAAGACCCTTAACAATTACTTCACGAAGAGCATTCAGAGAGTTTATTGTCCTGACTAAAAATTCAGTCCTTTCAGTCTCTGAAACATTATGTTTTTCATCCAACATAGCCAATCCCTAGGAAAGACGCCAAAACCAGAATCAACATAAGCTTCAATAAAGGAATAACCCAAAAAGGAGATCCTTGCTTCCAGGAATAAATCAAGAAACTTACACTAAGGAATTAAATTTCATAAATTCAGTCCAATGCATAACCAAACATTGTTTTTAAAAACTATTTTGAAAAGAAGGAAAAAAAATTGTGGACAAATGGGTCCAGGAACATGGAATATTTAACAGTATAAGAAAATGCAAATAGGTAAGAGACCCATCTGAAAAGGGCAAATTATCCCAACACCAGTTTTTATTAGACTCAAGCTCTTAAACCCAAGAGGACAAAAACAGAAAACAATTGCTGGAGTCCAGGTATCTACACCATAATCAGAGAACTAAGGAGTGATTACTGAATAATGACTCAGCACACGTCTCCACTTCATAGCAAAAGATACCATCTTTCAGATAAAATCTAGTCATTCTACTTCCCATACACCCGAAAATTGAATTATTTGGGACACAATGGAAGGGCTTCACAGCCATTTAGACCGTTATATTCTAATGAACTTTCAGAATGTTCTGATACTAAAAAGTTCTTAAACAGTGCGAAAATAAGAAAGGGCAGGAAGAGATGGAGAGAATGTCCTAAGACAAGTCTTAAGCTTGAGTCAACAACAACAACAACAAAAAACCCAGTTTAATCCCATAAATGGGGTCTGGGGAGGGTAGTGTGTACGCAGACCTTACCCCTACCTTATAGAGATAAAGAGGTTGTTTCCGATAGACCCTAGGCTCAAGGAAGAGTGAAAGATTATAGCTAGTGGGAATTGAACCAATGACCTTGCAAAGGTTTTGAACCCCCTTGACCACTAAGCTATGCTTGAGTCATTAAACATATATTTGTCTGATATGTGACACTTGTACATACTTCAAAGTATTACATCTAAGTCAAATTTATTTACATAACTATCTAACAAACATATTACAACTGCTTACATACTAAAAAGCGCACCAGCGATTGTTAAAGTCTCATCATATTTGTAATCAAATTTGGACCTTCTCTTATGTACTATCACCAAAACAAAATAGTTACCTTTTTGGACTCCACGAATGATGAAAGCATTGACGATCTACTTTCATCGAGAGATTCCCTTATAGATTCCAGTTGTTCATCAAGACTGAAAGGAAACAACAGAAAATTTTCATATCAAACAAATTCCATTTTCCCGTGAGCAAGTTTTTTATGGAAACATAATCCACCTAATCAATTCCGTGTGAATCATACAGACATTCATAGGCATTAGGTACTGCAGAAACATATACCCCGAAGAGACACATCTGAAAAGGGAAAATTATCCCAAGACCAGCGTTTATTATACTCAAGCCCTAAGAAGATACAATATTTGCACTGCAAGTTTAACCAGCATGAGAAGAATGAAGTTGGAGTGTAAAATTAGACGAGATTGTGATACCTAACTAAAAACAATACAGATATTGAAGCTCAACGTTTCAAAAAGAAGAAAATGTACACATACAGTGCTAAGAGGTTAAATGAAGTGTTACACGTGTCTTATGTGATAAGAGGTTACCCAACCAAAGTGGAAGTCAATGCTATAGAACAGTCGTTACACCAACAACTTTTTATGGGAGTGAACGTTAGTCATTACTCCTAATATGTTCAAAAGATGAGTGTGTACTTAAAATGAGTATTGAGGTGGATCTGCAATCAAACGAGATTAGACAAGATTTTAATACATCTGATAGAGAGTATAAGTGGCGCACGTAGAGGATAAAACAATAGAAGTTGGGTCATGTCATACATAGACCTCCAAATGCACATGTTTGTAAGTGCGAGGCCATGATGATTGAAGGTGTTCAAAAGGAACAATACAAACCGAAAAGTTCATGGAAGGAAATTGTCCGAAAAGACATACTAAAATTTTACGGAATCCATACAGAGTTAGTGAAACCCAGAACATAATAGAAGTAAAAAATTCGTAAGGGGAATACCAAACGGATGGCTCTAATGCTAAGTCATGTTCAAAGAGGGCACAACTAGCTTTATGAATTCTCCATAAGGGCTTGTCACCGTAAGAAATTGAGGAACAACATACATGTGAGATACTATTATCTAGCAAGTGAAGAAGCCTATTTTACAAAATAATGAAACTGGACCATACGCATGCAACGGAGAAGCTGGAATAGTTGGTCTGCTTATCTCATTTCCTTTATTATCCCACATCAGGACTGACTTTTTTCTGCAGAAATCAAATATTGAGAAACATAACAGATTAATGTCCTACCTCCCAGCATTGAAGAAATCTTTTAGTTCATTGTGGAAAATCTTGAATTGTTCTACAAATGCCTCACTATATTGTCCAGGTTTCTTGGTAATTCTTTCGAGCATTGCTTCTGTGGACACCAGATCTTCAGGGCCAGCATTTCTGTGGAGCTTGTTTTGTATAGTATGTTTGATTTCTTGCTGAAGGACAGGTAAATATTATTTTATATAATGAGAAGGACAGGTAAATATTGAGAATGAAAAGAAATTTAAAAAAAAAAATATTTGGTAGATGCTACAATTACAACCTTAAGGTCATGGGGTATATCATTCCTATGAGCGATGTCCCTGATTCTTGTTAACGGAACAGATTGAGTGAATTCTGCTTTAAAAGAAGGCAGGCACGGCTGCATCTTGCGGATTACAAGTATTTCCTGCATATAATGAAAAGAAAGCTTTTCTAAGCAACTTAAAAAAGACTAAAGCAAGCAGAGCTCAGATACAAGACGATGACAGACTCATATCCACAAAGTATATCATGAGAATTTTTCGGTAACTCAAAAGCTTTATAATCTCGTTATCATATATACAGACAGCAGATGTATGATTTAATACTATTTAAAGCAAGGGCTTATCTTGACTATTTGTTACTTTGTGGTGGGAATTATCTAACTATTAATGAGATTAAAGAAAGAGTACATTAAGAAAGTTCAGACCCTTCATTGTTAGAAAAGCACAGCTGATTCTGGGAAGACAAAAAATAATCTGAACCACTGTATTAACTCATTAATAGAATCAATAGCATTTTCTCTTCTGGATAGTTGCTCCCAAATCAAATTTCGAGGAATGTAACATAGACCAACCAAAGTTCGATGAAACTGAATCACTGGTATGATTTCCAGTCACTTTTTGTTTTATTGCCGAGAAATCCCCGAGGCCCAATGGCGCACTGTTTGCAACTCGTTGGATAATGCGCATGCACTTCTACCTTGTCGTAATTCCAGTCACTTATAACGAGTCACCGAAAGTACCACCACTTAACAGATCCAATAAGAATTGAATAACCGGCTCAAGAGACGAGCAATGTGTTCCAGAATCCATAGACATAATAAAAACTAAATAAGCATAATGGGTTAATGATTGAATACCTGAAGTGTAGTGTCTCGCCTACTCAAGAGTTTTTCTACTTCACGAAAAATAAGCCTGGAAATCTCTGCATGCCTATTTGGTCGATGGTGACCCCCATCTTCAAGGCAAGGAATTTGCCCTGTGTTTATCCACTGCACCCAAGAGTAATATTCAGTACGAAGATAGAAATGAATCAAATCAAGAAAGTAACCTAAAAATCATACAACACCTTTAGATAGACAGCTGCATACGTGAGAGCCTCCAAGCGCTGTGAACTATCCATGTTTTCAACAACTAGTTCGCGGACAACCTCAAGCTAAAAAATAGTAAAAAATGAAGTCGGTTAATTATTAAGCTTTAGCATGTTGATTCTGATAGGGGGAAAAGCAATTTGTGGTAAAGTAGACCACCAAATGGAGGGCAATCAATATCTCTATGGATTACTAAGCAACAAATAAAACGGAAGGAAGAGAATGTTGTAACTCATTAGTCAATTCGCATAAGAACCAAGTGCCCGTGCTACAAACGCTAACTCTCAATCTCATGGCAACATATTCTCTCCCCTTCCCTCTGTGCCCACACTTGATCTTAGCCAGAAAACAAAGAAAAGGTATCCCTTTCCCTCTTTGCCCGTTCCTTCTCTCCCTTCATATCCTTTCACCACTGATAATCATAATAAGGGTCAGTAAAATATATGAGATATATAGCCCCATAGCGAAAAGGAGACGTACATTTCGAAGACTTCACACACCAGTAACCTATGTTGCTCGGACTCTCCGAAAATATCGATGGGTGCGTGTCGGATCCTCCAAAAAGAGTGTATTTTTGGAGGATCCGACACGGGTGCGGCAGCTGTTTTGGAGAGTCCTCGCAACATAGCCAGTAACAAGTGAGCTGAAAAGAAGGCATATATACAGCAGTGAGGATACAACAATGCATATTGATGAACTGTAGGGAAAGAATAGCAGAGATTCACTGTGATGCTATCTTGCACAGATGTAACTCTTTTATTGCACAAACATTTTCCAGAATGCAAATCGTGCCATTAAGATGAGATCTAATCAATCTTCTCACCTTTCGCCACCAATTCCGAGCATTTTTATCACCTTCAACGAGCTTTAGGGAAATCCCAGTGAGACCTGATGTGTCCCACTTCCTGTTTGTTTGGGAATCCAGTTCGTCCTTTGAACGTACAAAAGATGCAGCCCTCCCTTGCCATTGCTCCACAAACGGACTTGTTACAGCGTCCAGAACAGCAGTCTCGCCAATAATTGTAGCTCCATTATCAGTTGCCTTTTCTACTACCTCCTCTACTACAAATGGATCCAATTGCAACAAATTCACAGGCTCATCTGTCACATTCCATTGACAGACCAATTCAAAACTTCCTCCTTCTGGTAGCTTCAAGATCCGGTTACTGCCGTTTTCCCATACCATATTCTTGTCCTTACCAACAATTACAAACTTATATTCAAGACTCTCACCAGCTCGTAATTCCAATTCAGAAATCCATCCATTCTCTGTCCAGTCCATCATTATATTCTTCTTCCAGGACCCTAATTCTTTGGCTGATCCCAAAACTGCAATGTGCTCCCCAAATTCAACTTGGTGTTTAAGCCGAACACGCAGCTGTACCTTCTCACTATTCTTTCCTTTCTGCTGCTTTTCCCTGCATCCAAAAAAAATTAGTCAAGGAAAAAACCACAATTCTTAATTCAGCGAATAATAACAATGGTTTTGCTGAACTGCATAATAAGATTGATGTATGATGGAATAAGTAATGATCTGAAACAGGAATCGAAGACTATCGTATATTTCTTTAGAGTTAATCAGCCAGGAACCATCCACTCGAGTATCATATTCACAGAATTATCACAGCCAAATTAACTGCACTAGGCTGTCTTTGAGGTAAAACTTATAAAATTATGACCATCAATTACTCATGATATACTTAGTCTTCTGCAACTAATGCTTGAAGGTCGACATCATTTTAATTTCAATTAGTAGGTGCCCACTATTTTTCTCCAAATTATTAAGTATTCAAGATGAAAAAATGTTGAGCTTTAAAATCAAACTTCAAGACACCTAAAATGGACAAGTGAGTAGAAGAAAACAGCACTCTCAAAATTAAATCAAAATATATACACAAATACATATATATATACACTATTCTTTTTCCAAAATAATAAAGAATTTAGGTGAAAATTTTGAACTTTAAAGTCAAAATAAAAGACACCAAAAAATGGATAGAGAGAGTACAAGCAACCAGCATTCTCAATACTCCTTCTATTTCAGTTTTTGTGACACTATATTTTTATTAGTCGTTCCAAAAAGAATAACACGTTAATATATTTGAAAATAAGTTAACACATTATACGCTTAATGAGAAGCTTGTATACAGTGGCGGAGGCAGGATCTCCGCAAAGGGGGTTCAAAAAGAAAAAAGTTAAAAAAGAATGTTGCTAGTGGAAGTTGAACCTATGGCCTTGCAAAGGTTTTGAACCTCCTTGACCACTGAGCCGCACTTTTGGGCTGTGTCAAGGGGATTCAAAACTTAATATATAGAGGTAAAAAACAGATTTTGCCTTATATATACAGTGTTATTTTACGGCGAAGGGGGTCCGGGTGAACCCCTTCCGCCCCCCTAAATCCGCCCCTGCTTGTATAGCTGCACAATATTATGGCACGTTTAAGATTACTAGTTTCAAAAAATTTCTTCATTTATTAAAATTTGTGTCGAGTCAAACTATGTTACATAAATTGGAACGGAGGAAGTACAATAAATTCAAATTCAAACAATACCTGGTTTCAACGGAAGAAACTGCACGTACAATTCCATAGCCCCTTCCTTTACAATCCATGAGAAAACCCAAATTTCTTCTGCGCAACAAGATTGAATTTTTAACACTTGTCTGACTCAGCTGGGGAATAACACTGAATTGGTTCGAAATTTGGTTTTGGGGTTGTCTCTTTTTCGCATTTAGAGTAGAATAACAGTGTGAGAAATGCAAAGAATCCATTATCAAAGCACATTAACAGTGCACAAGTTTGTGTCTTTAGCAGTTTGAGTGTATATACTGAGTCTTGAAAAATTGTTAAGAGAGAAAAGAATTTTGAGGTAGAGTGGAATCGAAGAGTACTAATTCCTAGGATGGATCTTGAAAAATAATTTTAATTAATATGGAAAAAAAAAAAAAAAAACAATCATGGGATTGGAAAGAATGGACCCTCCATTTGTGGATAGGTGTCGTTGACGCTTAACAGTCACATGGCAATTTTCTTTTTTCTTTTGTATTTTTTAATAATGATGAAGTTCCTAAAAGATCTTTTTTTTATTCTAACAAGATATTTTTGAGTTTTTTTTCTTTTTTTTTGCTTTTTAATTTCTAATTTTTTAGTAAAAATTTAGATCAATTTATTAGCTTTTAAGAAGATAAAATTTATATAATTAGAAATGACAAAGTTAAAAGCTTGGAATTCTAGCAAACTATGCATGAGTTTTTCGTCTTTTAGTTAGAAATATTTTTCTTCAAATTTTATTTTCACATTGTAAAGTGGCTATTTATTAGTACTTACTGCCTCTATTATAATTTATATTAGTGTTAAAAATCGCGCATTTAATAGAATATTAATCTTATAAAATTATGGTCTGATATATTATATTATTTTAATAAATTTTACTGTAGTTATTATTTTATTATTTAATATAGTGTACATAAATATAATAAAATATATACAAAATTAAAGGATACACATCATATAGTAATCAAATAAATTATTTATTCCTTGTTTTTTCTTTACTAAATTAGCAAGTACTTTACTATACATTTACTAATGTGACTTTTTATTAACTTGTCAATTGACTCAATATTTTGATACTACTTCTCTTTTAATAAAATACAAGTATATATTTTCTTATCCTCGAAATATCTTTTTTATACTTATGTTATAGTGTTCAAAATTCTTCAACTGTCTAAATTTATCAATAATCTTATTGAGTGTTGTTTATTTAGCTTTTGTTTATTAATTAATTTAAAATATAAGTATTATAAAATTATCTTTATCCCGCTCTTTTCGTACATCCTCTTCTACAATATTTGATTAGTTTTCTCATTGTGTATTTTACTGAAATTTTAAATAAAATAATTTTTTTTACTAAATTATAATTTTAAATTCATCAAAAGTATAAAGAGATAACCCTTTATTATTTTTATAAAAAATCTACTAATATTTCTAATAATTAATAGTTTATGTTTTATATATAATATATTATCTTATGTATAATATCCTAATAGTTTCTTAATATTTCGTATTATTTACTATAAAATTATGAGTTCTATTTATTAAATGAAATTTTCTACATGAGAAATTTAATTAGTATGCATATTTTTATGCTACCGCTTGATTTTTTTTATTCTTCATTTATGACTATTTATTAATTATGATTAGTTATGTGTATATGTACGACTTTTCTCATAATAATTCTAATTATAAGTCTCATATTTGTATACTTTCCCATAAATATGTATTTTATTTCATTTTTGTTCCTTGCTTATCTAATTGTATTATCCATTACTTAATATTATTAAATTGACATGTGAATTTTTAATAAATTACCAATTTAGCATAACAACTACTCCCAAATTTGAATTGATAGTTTTTGATTTCTTTATTTTCTTTTTTATTTTAAAATAATTTTAAAACTCCAACTTAAAACTACTCCCCAAATTGAATTGGCGACTTCTTATTTTTTTAATTTTATTTTTTATTTTAAAATAATTTTAAAACTCCAACTTTGTTGGAGCTTTATTCTAAAAATCTACACTTGTCGTCTTATGGTTATGCGCGCGCGCGCACACACACACACTCTAATTTAGGAAGAAATTATTCTCCAATTTGAATCGGTAGTTTTTTATGTTTTTATTTTAAAATATTTTTAAAACTCCAACTTGAAACTACTCCCTAATTTGAATGAGTAGTTTATTTTTTATATTTTTATTTTTTATAGATAATTTTGTGGTTATGCCACTTATCTTAATATAGTGCTTTTGCTTCTCCTATTCTATATAGATAGATAGCTTACTTTTCTTTTTAGTTTGTTTCAAAAAGAATATCTCTTTTTATATTTAGTAAGTAACTCTTTAACTTCAACAACAAGGTTCAAGAGTATTTTGATACATTACAGACATCCTTAATTTAAGATCGTAAAAGTTAAAAGTTTTTCTTACCTTTCTTAAACTTTGTGCATATTCAAACTAAAGACACATAAAATGAAACGCATGGCATATATTTCAAATAATAATAGCTAACAACTCCAAAAATTGGCCATGCCACCCAATTTTTACAACACTTCTTGTGCGTGAATTAAAAAATTAGCCCGATTTACAAGTGGTAATTAAAGAAATAGCCACAGTTTCAAAAGTAATCGAAATTTACTCACTTTTCATGTAAAAATAAATCTGAATGAAAATACTGTCCAAAATCCGGAAAATATTCCAGCATAATATACTAGAGTTCGAATTTTTTACATGTGAACTTCCAGCATAATATACTGGAGTTCCAGTATATTATACTAGAACTCCAGTATATTATACTAGAGCTCCAGTATAATATACTAGTCCAGCATCATATGTTGGAAGTTCGTACACATGAGCTCCAATCTCCAGTATATTATCCTGGAACTTTTCATGTGCTGGAATTCCAGCATAATATGCTGGAAGTTCATACACAGGTGCACCAATATCCAGTATATTATGCTGGAAGTTTCCGTGTTGCAGCAAAATAGTGGCTATTTTTTAGTTACCAGTCCGAAAACTGACTAGCCCGTGCTATTTTCACCCTTCTTCTATAATAAAAGGATTTGCTTCGACAGAGCCCAACTCTCTTGCCCATTCCATTCTTCTTTCAAAGCCCAGGAGATAATCCAATTCATTTAAGCCCATCCAAAGTCTTCCTTTGTCCATTTAGAACACCGCTATTTTTTCAAGAAAATACCAATTTAATACTCCCTCCGTTTCAATTTATGTGATATCATCCGAATCGGCACATAATATAAAAAAGTAAAAATAATTTTTAAAATTATGGTCATAAACATATCGTAGCATTTGTGTGATAAAACTTGAAATTTATGTAGTTATAAAAACTTCTAATTAAAGATAAGATAGGTTCCAAACATAAAAGTGCATCACTCTTTTTTAAATGGACTAATAAGAAGATAATGTTACATATACAGAAACGAACAAAGTATTATTAAACTAATAAATCGATGCACAAGTCAATTAGGTTATGTTGGAGCTTATGACTGTGGCTCAAAACAGGCCAAACATCACCTACATATATATGTTCCTTTCATAATCCAAAATCAAAACAAAAGTTTTAGAAGTTATTCATTATTTTCTCTTTAAATTGGAATCTATATGTTTGTTCAAGTGAATGAAATGCAATATGAATTAGAGTTCGAAATATGTTGTATAGTTGGTCAAATTATTCTCAATCCATGTCGGTCAGAGCCATGATCCACAATCATCTCTGTGTATTCAGCTTAGTGATTGGCAAAATGCTTAAAAGAAAATAATTATTCACTTATATTTTTTTTATTAAAAAATGGGTTAGATAATGAACTTTCTAACGACGGGTCAAATATGGATAAGAATTATATCATCCACTTAGAAACTGGATAACAAATGAATAACTAATGGGTTTAACTTCTATACTTATAAAGCCTCAAATTTGGGAGACTAGGAATTCCCCAAAAATAATCATATTCAAGAAGTCATGGATAATATGATATTCATATTATCCGCTGGTTAACCCGTTTTTACTCGTATTAAATATGGGTCGGGTCGGATAATTTATCTATTTTTTGCATTACCCGTTTTTTTGACCGCCCATATCCGACCCAACACACCCGTTTGCCATATCTAATTCAGCCCATGAATGAACGAACGAGCCAATGACCAAGTCAAATAAGATAGGAAAACTACCTGCTATGTCCATTTATAAGTAGCTCCTTAAAAAAAATGGCCAATTCATAAAATATTACTAATATTAGCCAATTAGCTATTTGTAGCAAAAAAAAATATCAAATTTTTGCTTTCTTTGAGTGGGTGCTGTGAGCACGTGATTTTTTGTCACCAAAAATACTCCCACAAAATCAATAAATAGATTTTTTTCTTAATTATTTTTAATTTTCATAGAATTTGTAGGAGTTTTTGTTAATTAATTGTTTGCATTTAGTTGCATTTTCATGCATTTTTAACATTTTAAAACCATAGAAAAATAACAAAAATGTCCAAATCTTCATTACATAGCATTTGTAGGTCTTAATTGCATTTAGAATCCAATTGCATAAGTTGATTGTATTAATAAAACAAAAATCACAAAAATGATGTTCATTTTTATATTTTCTTAGTGTTAAATTAGTAACTTTCTTTCGTTGATTTAAGATTAATTAATTATGTAAATAGTACAAATAGATAATTAGTTTAATTTTATAAATTAGATTGATTTAGGACGTAATTTTAGGATTTTAATTAATTTAATTCGAATTTAAAATCAAAGAAAAGAAAAGAAAAGAAAAGAAAACAAAGAAAAGGAAAAAAAATGAAAGAAAAGCTTGGTTTGTTCCCAAAATTGGGCCAAAACCATTTTAATGGCCCAATTTCTGTCACGATCCGGATTTTCCACCTTCGGGGGTCGTGATGGCGCCTACTCGTGAAAGCTAGGCAAGCCAACAGTTACAGTTTTACCATTGTTATTATTAACTCAAATAGGAACAGATAATAACTAAAACAAAATAATTAGGAAATGCGGAAGTGTTATAGCAATCCAACAATTCTAATACATAACTACCCCAACTGATCTGGTGTCACAATTCACGAACGACTAAGATTTACTACAAATATAAGTCTGAAAGAAGTACAAGTGTTCTCGAAATAGAAGAGACAGAAGAAACTAAAACAGGGAAAGGGGACTTCAGGCTCTGCAAACGCCAGCAGATCTACGTTGGTCTCCCTGGACTGAAGGCAGCAACCTCGAATCTACTCACAAGGTCCGGCACAGAAATCTGCACAAAAAGTGCAGAGTGCAGTATCAGTACAACCGACCCCATGTACTGGTAAGTGTCGAGCCTAACCTCAGCGAAGTAGTGACGAGGCTAAGACACGACAACCATATAAACCTGTGCAGTTAATCAA